ATTGCAAGGGAGTTTGAAAGCAGATCTAGGCCTTAGGGACACAAGTTCTTTTGATCTTTTATTCTTCCGTATCTCTCTGTCTCTCTGTCTCTGTATGTGTGTTATGAGAAAAGGTTTCGTATAGCTCAGGCTGTCCTTGAACTTACTGTGTAGCTGAGGTTGGACTTGAACTCCTGTGTCTCGTGCCTCCACCTCCTGAATGCTATGATTACAGGTGTGAATCACCATGCCCTGCTTGCTGTTTCCATTTTTAAGGTCTCTAGATAGTTCAAGATGCCTGCTTGTAGTACAGCTGTCTCAGCTACTCAGCTGAGGAAGGAGAAGGAGGAGGAGAAAGAGTAGGTGTTCTACCTGCATCTACTTCTTTAAGGCACTGTCCTTAAGTGAATTCTATTTACTTTTCAGTGGTCACTCATAACTTTATGGAGAGCAAGGAAAGTAATTCTTAATCCCTTTGCTTCTATAAAAGTACCTACCACTCTACAGTCAGGAAAAAAAAAAAAAAAAAGCAAGAAAATGGGCATTGGATAAACAAGTAGAAATTGTTCCAGGAGGAAAGATAGTACAAGTACTTGCAAGGTAATACTTTTTTTTTTTTTAATGCAAGCAAAGGAAATTGAATCAAGTAGATGTGGAATTTTAGTGGATTTCTGTGACAAGGTCAGCAGACAAGGGAGTACTTCACAGACACCCTGAGAAGGCCCATAAGTGATTTAACAGTGTCATGAGAAACGGAAGAGAACTGACTTGCTGACCAACTGGCATGTAAAGGAATGTGGAGAACTGAGGCCTAGCATAAAACTAAACAGTAGAGGAATATCATGTCATATCATGTCATATCATGTCCAGTTCAGCAAACCAGATACAAGAAAAGAGTTAACTTTACTTAAGGTTGTATGTCCTGGGTGTGGGGGATGCAGAGCTAGAAAAATTCAGGGTAGAGAGAGAGAGAGAGAGAGAGAGAGAGAGAGAGAGTTATTTGGCAGAGGAAGGAGGGCTGAGCTAAAGGATGTTAAAGGAGACAGAACCAGATGTGGGAGCAGATAAGGCTTGTTGGGAGACCCAGTAAACCAATTTGGCTGAATAGGAGGGCTCATGCAAGGCCTTAATGGAGAAGGATGTTGAAAGGCCTCATCTGATAAAGACTGGATAAAGCATTCCTCAGTTTTGAGTCTAAGCCACATTTTCAGGCAATGAAGATCTGTTGAAGGTTATTGTGCAAGAGAATGACTTAACATTAATGTGATGGAAGTTTGTATAAGGATGAGGGACAGTGACCAGAGCAACTGGTTTGTGCAGCTAGCAAAGACAGGGGTGGGGGAGTGGGGGTGGGGGGTGAAAAGCACATGCAGTAAGTCACTTTCTGTGCTGCACTCTGGGCCATTTTCACCTTGTAGGCTTTCACTCTGTGTTGAAAAGCATTTGACCTCAAATTTCCATCTCTATCTCCTTTCTCCCTCCCTTCTTTTCCTTCCTGGCCCCCTCTGCTCCTCCTTCCCTCCTTCCCTCTGTCTTTTTCTGTCTTTGTTAATGAAGTAATTCAACAAATACTTCTTATCTACTGCCTCCACACTGGGCATTGTACAGGGCATTGAAGATTCAATAACAAACAAATAAAAGAGTGCCAAGAGGGGCTCAGTAAGCGACCAAGTAAAAGCACGTGCCAGGCTTCAGCAACGCAACGAGTCTAGTATTCTATTATGGTAGAGGAGGCAATACTGAAGCCAATACAGACAAATGACAAGGAAGTGGTTGGGGAGCAGGAGAAACAGAAGCAGAGGCATAGTGGGGAAGAGGGCCTGGATCTCAGGTGCTGTAGCTAGCAAGTAGTTCGGGGGAACTGACAGATTGGGGTCTGTTGGGCAATGGCATTTTTTTTTTTTTCCTGAAGATTTATATTCTCCAGATCTGGAGTGATTGGGTCCAAGGTGCTACTGGTGGTTCAACCACTTGGTGGCTCTGGGACCTTGGGTGAGTTACCTAACCTCTCTAAGCCTCTTTTTAAAAAGACATTGATCTGGGCTGGAGAGATGACTCAGTGGTTAAGAACACTGGTTGTTCTTGCAGAAGACCTGGTTTCGAATCCCAGCACCTACAGGGCAGCTAACAACTGTCTGTAACTCCAGTTCCAGGGGATCCAACAGCCTCTTCTGTCCTCCATGTGCATTGCACAACATGGGTGCACTTATCTACATGCAGGCAATACACACATACACATAAAGATAATAAATAAAATATTTTTAAGAAAGACATTGCTCTTTAGATGTTGTATCATTTATAATATTCCTAGCTCAGTGCTGGGCACACAGAAAGCCCTTCGAAACTGATGGCTACTCGATCTATCACTTCAGACACAGCCACTATCATGAAAATCCTTCTTATAAACACCATTCATCTTGGTGTGCAGATTAAAAGGAGATGGGATAAGCTGGAGGAAGGGAGTCCAGTTAGAAGACCTCTGAAATAATCTAGGGAAGAATATTCTATCTTCTGTTCAGTGTCCAGCTGTCATTCGGATAGAGTTTAAAAACAAGGAAAGTTTGGGGAGTATATGAAAAGGAAGACTGAGCAGGCTTGGGTGATTGATTAGCTGAAAGAGATCAGAGAGTCAGTGAAAGACTCCTACGAGGCGTCAAGCTTGGGTGCCTGGGAGAATTCTGGTATGATCTACACACGAAACCCTTTTGCTCTGGACTCTGTTTCTCAGGCCAGTGCTCTCCTGACAACCTTGGATGGTTGGCTGCCTTTTCAATTTCATTCACCTGCTCAGTGACTGTGCTGCGCTGCTTGCCACTTTGTCTTTTTTCACAATGCTTTTTCCTAGTCACAGTGAAGTCATACTTGAATTTAGAACCTTGAAAGGTTTGAACTTGCAGTTGGGTTTGCATATACTCTCTGCTTGCTTCCAAACCTTCCTTCGTTTCTAGATCATGTGTTTCAAGAAAGACATCGGCATCGGCAGTCCTGTTTCAGAACATTAAGAGAATTCTACATGTTCACAGTTCATATTGTTTTGCACAGGATATTTGGTATGATTTATCAGTATTATGTACTTATTATTTTAACTTCTGTTTAAAATATGGAATCTCACATACATATTATGTTAGTTGCCATGCTACAAAAACAAAATAAAATCTGGCTCAGCTTCTGGCTATATTCATTTGTTTATTAACCTGTTTATTTATTTATTATTTATTTCTGTGTATATGTGATGCACATGGTATAGCTTATGCATGACTGTGTGGAGGGGTGCATGGTCATGGAGGCCAGAGGAGGATGTCTGATGTCCTGCTCTTTCACTCTTCATGTTACTCCCTGCAAACAGCATCTCTCACTGACTCTAGTAAGGCTGACAGGCAGCAAGCCCCAGGGACCCTCCTGCCTCATTCCCCCTCAGCATGTCATCACACCTAGTTTATTTTACTCTGGTGCTGGGATCTGAATTCAGGTGCTAATGTAGCAGGGCAAGCACTCTTACCCACTGAGCCAGCTCTGCAACCCAGCCTTTGGCTTTTGTGTTCCTGCAAATTTACTTTTGCTCTGATTCTGGGAACAATTAGAGAAACTCAAGCTTGATATAAGACCTTATTCTAACCAATGATCTGTCCACTATTGTCTGGTTTTAGAACAAGGTAATAGCACATGGGGCTGATACCACGGTTCTCTGGTTTTCTCTTTCTTCTTTCTTTTTGAGTTTGATATTCTAGTTACCAAGAATGCATAGCAATTTGACAAAGACCAGGAGCTTTGAGATCTTCTTAGGACTAGGTTAGTCAGGCTCAAGTCTCTGTCAATATGATGAACTGTTGTATTTATTTTATTTTAGAATTTTGTGTGTATATGCATTGGCCTATGTATATATGTATATGAATGGTGTGTATACAAATTCCCACTAAGACCAGAAGAGGGCATCTGATCCCCTGGAGCTGGAGTTACAGATGATTGTGAACCACTGCCTGTGGGTGCTAGGAATACAATCTGAGTCCTCTGCAAGAGCAGCAGTTGATCTTAACTGTGGAGCCATTTCTCCAGTCCCTGAACAGTATTTTTAAAAGGGAGACATCTTTGGGGTGTTGTTAGTGGTTAAACCCAAGGCCTGTTGACTACTAAGTTCATACTCTTATCACCAAACTATACTGCAAATCCCAAGAATGGTTTTTTTAAATGTCTTATACACAACAGACAAAAAAATGTCCTATATAAAACCAAATGACACATTATGAGCAATTTTGCAATGCTTTTCACTAGCCCAAAGTAGCAATGCATTGATCTGCCCAGACACATTGCACAGTTGTTCTTGAGGTTTAGGAAAACAGCTTCCCTGAACTAGGGGAAACAGGCAAAAGCCACTGGCAGCCTTAGAATGGCCATCCCAGTCTCAGCTAGAGTGGTTAATGAGCACAGGCCACAACTATCATCAAAGGAGTCAGAATTAGTATGCACCTGAGCTCCAGCTTCAATGGTCTCTGTAGCAGCTCACAAAAAGCCCTCTTCCTGGGTTTCCTCTACCGATCATCTGGTCTATGGTACTTGTGCTTGTGTCCTTGGATTTCAGAAATAGCATGTGAAGGATGGGAAATGAACGGTCTTTGTGGGAAAAAGTAGCCTTTCAGCTTCTCAGCATTTTACACAGCTGCTTTCCTACTTTTCCAGATTGTGAATCTACTCTGAGGCTATTAAAATCTATTCTTGGTGATGACAAAAAAGGTAGGGACTCAATGGTTCTTTGCCAATTGCCCTGTGTCTGGCAACAAATACCCAACAACCCAATTTTCCTTTCCTCTGCTAACAGCAAAACACTCCTGCTCGTATTTGTAGGCAGATAAATCTCAGCCCTGAATTCTGGGTAAGGAACACAGCAAGACAGAAAGCCTCTTGGGCTAGCCTGTTTCTCCAGGAGGGAGTATGGGTCTTGGCTGCTTTAAGAGTCTGACTCCCTGGTAAGGGGGCTGGTCTATCCTGGGTGTGGGAGGAGGGACCGGTGAAGCAGGCCCCGAAGGAGTCCTATTTAGATCACAGACAAAAAGAACCAGGAAGTAAGGAGGAATTATTGCCGTACATAGCTCAGGATGTTAAAGGTGATCACCTCCACTGCGTGGTTATTCATTAGCAAGAAGGAAAGTACAGGGGCGAGCAGGCTGGTGCAGCTGCAAGCCTGAAGCAGGCTGAGATGTGCTGGCCGAAGCCAGGTCTGGAGCTCTGACCTGTAGCTTTCTCTAACTTTTTCTTGGGACACAGGGAGAGGTGGCTGTTTGTTCTCAGATGTCTGTCTAATTAACACTTTTTTTTTTTTTGGTTGGGGGTCGGGATACTCAGAAGAGGAGAGAAGCATCTTCCCACTAACCCTCAGGCTAGTGCTCACTTGATTTTGCCCCAGGGCAGCAGGTTCCACAGAAAGCCAGGCAGCGAGGCTCTTGTTGCCCTTGTTACAAGAACCAGGCCCATGTCTGCCGGACAGTGCTGAAGGAACGCTCTCCATTCTGGTGAGTTGGAGCTGATTTCCAAGCTGCCTGGTGGAGGAAGAGACAGTGGATCTGCAGAGCCTGAGGGGAGAGGGGTATCCTCTCCCCTGCTCCCAGCCAGGGCACTATGGGCAATGTCTGTGTAAGGCTCTGGGCATATTTGCAGCCCTTTATCCCCTGCTGGTCTCAGGAGACGGACAAATCAGTGGTGATTGAGAACCCAGGAGCCCGCTGTACCCCCGAGGTTCCCAAAACACAGGAGCCCGAGAGAAGCCAGGGCCACTACTTTGTGGCTCTGTTTGATTACCAAGCTCGGACTGCAGAGGATCTGAGCTTCCATGCAGGAGACAAACTCCAAGTCTTGGACACTTCCCACGAGGGCTGGTGGTTCGCCAGACACTTGGAGAAGAAAGAACCCGGCTTGGGCCAGCAGTTGCAGGGTTACATTCCTTCCAACTACGTGGCGGAGGATCGGAGTCTCGAGGCAGAGCCGTGAGTAGGACAGACCACACTTTGTTTCTTAACTCTCTGGGGGCTGGATAAAGAGCATTTCTACCTCCCTATCCACAGCCTCCATCCTCATCTCCAGGTCTGCCCAGACAGTGTGTGGAAGCGCTGGTCAGAAGCAACTAATTCAAACATGCTTTCCTTGCAAATTCAGAGTGAAACTGGCAGCTGCTTATTGTTGAAACGACTTTTATTACAGCCAGCACACTACCATGTTTTAGTACTCTCCCTTCTGCCTCGCTTTAGATAGAATTGCCTTTTCATTTTCCGGTGCCCCATAGGTACCCCATAAACCATACTTTTAAATCTAAAGTCCGGTGTTTTTTGTTTATTGTTTCCATTCCAGACTAATGCTTTAAACCTTACTGCTAACCACATTCTGGAAGTTTCACAGGCAGCTAACACAGAAGATAACATTCACATTTACACAAAACTGGTTTTTCCAGGGAAATCATGACAGAGAAAACTTTCTTTGAATTCTTAGATCCTGAGGTATGCTGCTCAAGTTGTGAGAGCCTTGGATTGTTAGGATTAAAAACTGGCCAGATAAGGACAGCAAAATTTAAGCAGAAAAATAATGGCAATATTTCTTCAGAAGAGAGGATAAAGATTTTATCCTAATAATATGACTTTATAAGGGGGCCTGACAATGAACATACACAGTGTTACCTCTTTTCTAGTTCCAGGTATTTATCTTTCCCCTGTTTGAAGAATTATCTAACCTTGTAAACATGGATTACAAAGGTTACTGAATAAGTCTGATAACCTGTCTCATAGTTTGGGTCTGAAGTGTCTCTTACAGGTTTCTGTTTTAAACCTTGTTCCCAGCTGGTGATCTTGCTTTTGATGTTTGGAAACTTTCTAAGGTTGGGCCTAGATGGTGGACTTACTCATTAAGGACAGGCCTTTGAACCTTATTCCCAGCCCGTATTCTCTGTCTCACCGTCTGTTTCCTGGTTCACTACAATGGGAACAGTCTCTATCACATGATCCTGCCACTTTGAGTTGCCCCACTTGCTTTTCTACCATGATGGAGGTGGATTAAACCCCTCTGAGACCTTAAGCCAAAATATATCTTTCCTTACTTCAAAAAATTGAAAAGGCTTTTTTCTAGTATTTGTATAAATTCTAGGATTTATTGTGGAATAAAAGACGAAATTTTTATGCATTTATTCAAGCTGCATCCTTCCATCCATTCGAATAGCAGGCACAGCAATGGGTATGCTGAGTGGGAAGGGGTAAAAGTTATGCTAGTGATACTGGATCATGAAGTGGGTAAGGAGCAATCTTTCAATGGTCACGTAGGATCTGGTGGATTAGGTGGAAACTGTTGACCTCAACTTTGGTGACTAGTTCTAGTGAAATCTAAGAGAGGGAATGCCTTTTACAAAATGGGATCATTTTAAAAGAAGGGCTCCTTAGTGGAGGAATAAGTGGAGATTCATGCAGGTTCTTATATAAGAGATTTTTCTTTCCCCCACCCTGGTTGCTTTATTTTTTTATTGTATTATTATTTTAATA